TTGCATGGAAGTACAGGATATCTGCTTAGTAAATGTGCAGAGGGCTTGAAATGCCTGAATTATGCTGAACGTATTGCAAGCTGTCACAGGTAATATATTGCAAGCTCTCACAGGTTATATGCTCTTATGGTTCCTTCATGTATGTCCATTCAGGTGTGACTGGTGGATCTAGACATGGCAGGCAGTGCATGTATTCACTAATAATGTCTCTCTGAGAAAGCTGGGCATAACCATGGAAGACCCAGTAAATCTCATATTGCTTATATCTCGACTTGCCTCATTAATTGCATAAAAGAAGCAAATGCTTTGCTGGTCAGAAGCATTTATTTGTCAATATCTGATGTTCCTTTTGGCTATGTGGCTTATGTTATTTGTATGCGATTTACCTCAGCCTTGCTGCAAAATATGTAGATTTTTGTTCCAACATGATAAGTAACTGTGTCAGCATAATAATTGAAGTATTGCCTAACCTAAATATTATGCATTTATTTATTTGATAGCTCTGTGTGTTTGGGGTTGGGTTGTTTTGTTTTGTTTTGTTTCATTATTTGAGCTTTGTGATTCAGGAAAATACCTTTGAATTTATAAAGCCTTTAAGCATATGCTTAACTTAAGCCTCATGCATATAATCAAGTACGTGCAACTGAGGTGCTGTCCTGAATCTGGGATTTAATTTCTACTAGATGTATTTTGTGAGCAGAAAGGCATATTTTAAGAGGAGAAAGACCTGGTAAGTCATCAGCTAGTTCCAAAAGCCCTGAGATAATTTGCATGAGAAAGATGTGAGGCTCTCTATATTGTTACATGAGAGATGGTAGAGACCCATACATTTATCTAGTGTAGCACTCCTTATCCTCAAAACTTTGTGAAGTTTTATTCTCCTATAGTTTGTCAGAAAATCCCCTAAAGCTGCAGATATGCCTTTCTTTGTCCCAGAAAATGCCTTTGAAGCTTGAATTGAGCTTAAACACATTTAGAATTGCAGTCTTCTCTCACTTGAAAAATGCCCATCATGTGGTTTCACAGTGCTGCAAAGAAAAAGCAATATGTATTCCTGCACAGGCAGTGCCAAAGGCTTGCTACACAGAAAAGGGATCAGAGACATTCCCTTACTGCATCTTTCCAACTCGAGGATGTGGATTAAGTGATACATTTTAACTCCCCCAGAGGCTTGGAATATAGTCCCTTATTTCCAGGAGGGAGCAGAACCACACCACTTGAGCATCTCCCCTAATTTCTTTCTTCTCCCAAACCATCTGCTTCTCTGTGGAAGTAGTTGTCCTCGGTTTGTTAACCTAGTTAATCCTCTAGTGTAAACTGTAGTAATTTATGCTGCGTGTTTGGGTTTCACATGGTACTAATAGTATCTAATGAACTGTGGCCCCGGAAACATCTGCTCTATACAATAGTTAATTTTTTTCTTCTTCTTTTTTAATCCTGTGATTGGATATAAAAAAAATAAAAATAAAAAAAAAGTAGGAGCTCTTTAGGCTGCAAAGATCAGAACTCAAACCTTCAGAACTGAAATAGGCCATATTTAATAAAACCCATGTTACCTTAATTTAGCTCCCACTTGTTTATGAATGGTTTGATATTTGTGCGTGTTATTACTTGCTGTTTTCACTTGCAAAATGAAAAAGGGTTTGAAAGAATGTAGAATGGAACACTGGTAAGACTGTGCTATAGTTGTTTAGGCTTACAACTAGAAGCTAGAGAACATCTCTTTATTTTTATATGTAATAGTTCTATGATACAATTGAGCTATATGGTAGAAAAATCTATGTAAGAATTCATTTACAAGTAAGAAAACTGCAGAAGTTGAAACTGTTATGAATGCTATGCTCCAGAATAATATGAGAGAGAAATGGGATATGCTAAAAACAACCAGTAATATACTGTTTTTACTTAAAAAGGAAAGTAAGAAGGTAAAAATGCTACTTAATTATAATGTTGCAGAGTTAATAATGCAGTAGAAATTTTAGCTCTTTCCGAGTGCTTAATTTCTCAGTCTTAATGTGGTTTCCAGATTTAATTTCCTTATATTTATTTGTTTTTAACTCAGAAAGAAAATAAGATTTTCTTTTGTGAAACACCTGTAATGAGATCTTAGTGCTACTTAACATGCCTTACGTTTTCTATAAAGTTGCTGATTGCATTTAGAGTCACCTCAGCAGTAATAAATCATTTCAACAGTTTACTCTTACCTCCAGTATCATTAAAGTTCTCCAAGTTTAGGAAATGCATTTGAAAAAAAACAGAACAAAACCCCTCATGTTCCTGTATGAAAATGTCACCTTATAACATCCATAGCTTTGAAAATAAAAAACAGATTTTCTTCAGGCATGAACCCTTTATCCTTCCCCTGTGGACTCTGAAGAAGCTATTTAAACTCATGTGATCATGCAGTTAAAAGCTGGGCTGACTCAGCAAAGTGTTTAACTATGTGCTTAAATTCTATTGCGATCAATAGAATTTGAGCATGTGCTTAAATATTATGCTGAAAAGAGATGGATGTACACACGTTTTAAAGCTAAGCGCATACCAAAGCAGGCCCATAATGCATCGAAGCAAGTCAGAAGAATTCAGGCTGTAAAAGCCCTACTTTTGGGAGGACTGACTTCATAAGTAAAATATTTTGATATAATTTTTATATACGATCTAAAATATAGAGTACAATGCTGTAGTTACTATGGTCTGTGAATTAGCTAACATGAGATAGTTTATAAGCCTGTCAGCTTATAATACATACGCCAAAATTAATAATGCTTGCAGCTAAATATCTGAATGTACATTGTCTACTCTTAAATATTAGTTTGCTTTTATTTAGCTACGGAACTATTTGAAGTCAGCTAGAGCTGTGAATGCTATCTTTAGAAATGCAGATGCATATATAAACACATTATAAACACGAATGGGTACCCGATACCAGGATCCCACACTCCACCATTTTCCATGTTCTGACCCGTTTCTAACTTATTCCTTTAGTGTTTCCTTGTGATATGATTATTTTGAGGCAGTGAATCACTAAACAGGGTCATGTTCTGGTTGGCTCAAGGGCATAAGCAATTCCACTTTTTTTTTTATTTATTTACTTGAGTCTATTAAAAGCTTTTTCTGCATTAAAGAAGATAACTGTTTCTGTTGGTGATCCCCCTTGCACTTGTGTTAAACATCTTCTGCTCTGTACTGTGAAAGTACCATGTATTTCCCACAAAACACTTGGGTACTTTAATTCGCAAATGTGAATGATACCAAATTGTTAGCTGTCAATATGTGATGGTATGTGTGATGCTCATCCTGGTCTTGCACTGTAACATCCTGCCAGTTGCTGTGCTGCCAACTGTGCCCCTGTTCTTGCCCTTGGCAGAACTGGGTGTATGCTGCCTGCACAGCTTTGCTGCTTCCCTGGGAGGAGTGTTCCTGGGGAAAATGGGGGAGGGGGAAGAGGGAAAGCAAGGACAGAGGTGTGTTGAGCAGCAGTATGTGCTAACTTGAAGATCTTGTAGGGAAAACCCCTTTGTCAGCTTCTGTGGTAGGACAGCATCTCTGGGGGACAGATCCTAACTGAGCAGAGCCAGGTCATTCGGCACATGAAAGAAGCAAAGGTTTGGGATGATGGAGGAGACTTGAGCCACAGAGCTCACAGGTGCCATCGAGTTTTCTGACATCACAGTGCTTTGTTATTGCGAATCTTTTCTTCAGTAACACTATCAAGATAAGTTTGAAACAAAAACTATTGCCCTTGGCTATGATCTACTGGGTTAGTTGAAGAGCAGACAGACAATCCTTTTGCAAAGGGCAGAACCAGGCCTCAAGTATCGGTCAGATTCTTGTGCCTTCAGGAGCAAAAAATGCTGGAGATAGTTGAGAATTTGGTGGATGTCTAGAAAGCTCTGAGATGCCACCTCTGTTGGTTTCTTGATTACAGTGAGGAATCAGTGTCCCAGTGTCTGTCGTTGCTCCCCTAGAGCAGGGGCATAGAAGGAGACAGAATTTTGGCAGGCAAGTGGTCAGGCTGTTGTATCGTATATGTAGGTAGTGACAGGCTTTGGTCACCTGTGTTACCAAAGGCAGAGTAGGACCCAGAGAAGTAAAGTGCTATCTGTAATAGTGAAATGAAACTAACTCAGTGGTAGGTATTTTAATCGGCAAACAAGACACACAATGTCTGAAATATCAGTATGAAAAATAAACTTCACAAAAACCTGCCGGGATGCAGAGGAGCATCGTGCTGATGCACTGTCAAACACTGCTCTTCTGAAACCACATTGTCTTGTAAAACTGAGAGACGCCACACAAATTGCCTAATGCTTCCAAAAATAAGCATGAGCTGCTCAGCCTCTCTCCGAATTTTAGCAAGTCAACCAAACAGTGCATAGTCGGTCAGCGTGTCTAGCATGCTGTGCCGCAATGGGTGACTTACTATAAGCATTGTATCAACCCTGCTAAATACGGAAAGGCGCCTTATAACTACGCGCACAAAACCCGGTCCCTCATTAGCATCTGCCCCCACATTCTGCTCCTCCATGAACCCCAGCGATTGCTTCTGCCGAGGCGAGGCAGCCGCAGGTCCCAGGGGAGCAGGCAGCAGCCTGGCTCCCGCGCCAAAGCCAACTGTGGCGTAGCCAGAGAAACGGGCAGCAAAAATAGAACAGCAGGATGGCTGCATGTGGGCGAGGCACAGACCACAGAGCCAGCAAAACCTCCCGGGGTATTTTAGGACTGATACAGAGGCCGCGGCATTTTGCTCATTGTTCACAAAATACGCTCCGGAGGTGGAGGGAGAGAGTCCCGGGGGAGGGGTGTTTCTGTCCTGCTCCCTGCCTTCCCTTCCTCCCTCCCTGGCGTCTCCCCACCGAAACGGGCTGGGCAGGGAGAAGGGGTTAATCACACTCGAGGCCGAGCGGCGGAGCGGTTTGAAAGACAGCGACTGGACAGCTGTGTTTGCTGTGGTATTTTTAAACGCATTAATGCAGGCTCCAATCACTCGGCCATGCTTGACCTATTTTTGGCTCAGGCCGGCCATTGTTCTATTTCTGCCGCCGCTGGGCCACGCGGGTGTCGATTCAAATGCAAATGAGTTATCGCTGCTGCTCCCGCCAACTTTGCCCAGCTGAGGGAGAGCCGGCCAGGGAGAGGAGAGGGGTATGGGGACGGCAACGCTGGTCCGGGCTGCGGTAAATCCGACTCAGCCCTCGGGGGCTCCCTGTCCCTGCTAAGGTGGCTCACTCGGTTTGATGGTTTGTAGGAGGCTGTGGTCCCCCCACCCCACCAGAAAACCTGAAGAGCAGAGATATTGCTTCATTTCTTCTTCCACCTGCCGCTGGCTGCCTGAACGCAACTGCTCAAACTCGGCGGCACGCAGACCCCCGTGTGCTCACAGTCCCCTTCCAGCCGGCGGGGGCTGCTGGGAGTGCATTTGGGGGTTTTTCCCCTCCCGATAGATACTTGTGCAAATGCTTAAACATTGCTTGTTGCTGAAGCGTATTATCTTACAAGCCTCGCTGGAGGAGGTAGAACTGCAGAGGGTCGTGCCTGACACCCATGTTCAAGTGCAGTGATGAATCTCTTGTGTAGCTGAAGCACAGACCAGTTGGAATATGCTGCAGACAATTTATGAGAGTGAATCGTGTTTTTCCTCAGATGGGGTTTCTGGACGCGAACAGCTCTTGGCTCAGCAAAGAATGCACAGTATGATCAGCTCAGGTAAGAGACAGCTCGGTACTTCAGACTTCAGTGGCTGACCAGGAAAATACAGCCTAGCCCAACAAGAAAACACCCTTCCTTTAAAGAAGTGAGTTTATTTTTGTGGGGTTTAGGTAAGTTGCTAGATAATTATGGTAGTATGGTAGCAGCTGCTGCTTATGCAGGGAATTTGTCTCCTTCAGCCTGCTGCTTTCCAGCCAGAGCAAAACGCTTACAACTGAAATCTAGTTTGGGATTCCTTGTTTGTTTTGTTGCGTGGTTGCAAAATGGGGCTCATGGCACAGGCTTGTTCACAGAGAGAGGCTTCCTCAAACAGACCTTATCAGGAGGCTGCAGTTAGAGCCCCTCATAAGGCAGTTCTGGTCATATACCAGTTGTAAACAGTGTTTGGTCTTTCTGTCAGTTCCCTTTTCTCCAGTTTGCATACAAAGGGAATTTAATACTAATCCCTTTCTTTTTTTCATTATGGTGTTGCTTTAAAATGTCGTTAATATGCATGGATTATTTTGTAACTTAAAAAATGTTTGTGAACCTAGCAATGACAGTGTATGTAAAGACTCTCTGAGATGTTAAATTGGATTTGTTTTTTAATGAAGATAATTCAAAGCTGCTGTGAAAGAACACTGGACATATTCTCACGTATTAGAAGCTACCCTTGTAATTTTGAGTTTCTTTGCTAGCTGTGTTTGAGTTGCAAATGATGTATGGAGAATCAATAAAGTTGGAAGAATTGTTGCCATTCTGATAAAATGTCATTTTAAGCTAAAAAAAGTCAAAATTTCAAATAACTTTTGTTCATTCTCTCTTAAATTCTGTGAATTCCAGTTCTGTTTTTATTGGACTGAAACTCTGTCTTTTGTGGCACAGTGGTATCTGTTTGATATGTTTTTAATCCTATGTTTCTGAATTTGTTTTTCATAACATTGGGTTTATAAAGGACCTTTATGTAGAATGCAGGGTGAATTGTTTATCTGTACTTTAGACTTGGTTTACCTTGCTTTTCCTTTTTCTTTCTTTTTCATTTTATTTTTTTCTTCTTTTTCTTTTTTTTTCTTTTTCAAGTTGGCAGTGTTTCTCATTTTCTAAGATTAATTATGTGTGTAGGCCACAGTTCTCTTCACGTATTGCCTGTTCTGGTACACCTGTTGAACCCATGCTTTTTTTTAAAAAAAAAGAACTATTTCTTTGCCTGTTTTATAGACAAAGAACTTGCGTTTTTACTTGTGTTTCTTTCTTACACACAATTTTAAAGCAGACTTCTATTTTCAGATACGAAAACAAATTCTGTGAGATTGTGTCAAATGGTAATATCTTTCCTGCTACAAATGATAGATGTATCTTAACCTCATGACTAGTGTTTTTCAACATAGAAAGGCTACCTCAACATGATTAGAGACTGAAGGAGGGAATGAGAGATTGAAAAGCTATTCTGTGCAGGTAAAAATCATGAGACTGCCTAAGGGGAATGGAGCCTTCCAACTGGTAATGTTTAAGATTGGCAGTTTTTCTCATTCTATATAAGACTGTTGGATTGGTTTTTGGAGCTCAAAGAATTACTCTTCCTCTGACTTCTTAGAAGACGTTTATCACCAGTTACAGTTACTTGTCAGTGACAGAAATCAGGTGCAAGACTTGTTTATAAATATGAACAAGGAAGCTTTTGGAAAAGACAGTGGGTAAACGCAGAAGTTTCTTTGAAAGTGTTACAGTTCTGCAAAGCCATTCTCAGTGTCAGCATCTGGTTCAAGAATAACTGTTTTTCTTTCATTTCTCTGAGCAGCTCCGCAGGTGTCCAGTGCTTTTGTACTGGTCAAAGAGATAACACTGACTGCTTCCTTTCCTTCCTGTTGTTTTTTTGATTATTTGCTTGGTTTTAATACTTGTCAAGTTAGCTGTACAGAACTGAAAATCTGGGGGTTTAGCTCATTTTGCTACCTTGTATCTGACAGCTAATGTTGCTTGAGTAACAGCAGTTTTCTCATTCGAGACGTTTGAAACAGAAAAAGTGAGGTAATTTTCAATAAGTTTGCAGCTCTGCTTTTCTTCACTGAAGAAAGAATATCGTGTAACAGTTGATTTTTGTCTGCTATTACATTAGACCCATATAACACACAGGATTTCCACTGCAGTGCCAAGTAGAAGGGGGGGGGGGGGAGCAGGATTTAGACTTAAAACAAAAACACACACACAAAAAAACCAAACCCAAAATACCTTAGTCAAAAATGTTATCCAGGTAAAATACGTTTAAATATATATTCTGCAGAGCACAAAATATTCCTCAGTTGGCCTTTAAAATACACAACTAGACTGCAAGTAGTTGACATTATACATAGCCTGCAGATTAATTCATGTCACATAAAACCACAGAGCCCTGTGCTGGTGTTGGTTGCCTTCAGTTCCCTCAAGTTCACAGTCTCGCAGGATCAGGCAAGGGTCTGGTAACTTTTCAGGTACTATCTCTCTATGTTGCATATAGGGGAGAAAGAAGAATAGCCAGGGTATGACGATGTGCTCTGGTGTTTGGAGTAGCTACAATCAGTCAATTGTGTTTTGCTTACAACAGTGTCCTTACTTTAAAGTTATCTTCACTACATGAATGTGACTTTTGCTCAGGTTAAGAATTTGCCCGCTTTTAAGGAAAGATCCCTCAACATTTACACTCTGCATCCTTGATATTCTTAAAGTCTTTCAAGCAACACAACTTAAACCCTCAATGGATTTTTAGGTTTGCTAGTTTCCAGATGCAGTGGGCATGTATTATGCAACTCTGATTTTAAACTGGACTGGAGCCATCCCTAAAGAGGGCCGATTCAATAGCCAATTGATACTTACTTGAAAAGCAAACTGAGGAATTTCTGAAAATAACAGGCATAGAACATACTTTTGTCATGTGAAACAGTTCTTCTGTATTCCCTCAATCACTGCTTTGCCTGTCTGTCTCTCTCCCTGCTTGTAAATCATACTATGAATGAGATGATCTGGATAGGTACCAGTCAAAATCCTAATTATGAATGGAGCAATTGAGATCCGCACTGACTCAAGAAGCTGTGTAATTTGCAGGCACCTACACCTTACTGCAGAGAGCAGTTTCGGCTATCTTGGGAAGAATGAACTAGATTCTCCCATATGATATTGCTGCTCTAAAATGCAGCAGTAAGTGCTATACATCTTTGTTTAAGATTATGACATTGATGTATGCTTATTTGATACCATAATTGTTTTAGCATCTCAATTTAAAAATTAGATCTGGAATTGCTGTTTAACTATGTTGTTGCTTTTACTTTACTCCAAAAGTCTCAACTCCCATGTGTGTGCAATGCTACAGTGGATCCTAGCATTCAGTTGGCCTCTTATCTTACAACAGTACAGGTAATAAACTGTAAATTCTGGAAAAGAAGCATTTGATGTGCACAGTCCGTGGAAGAATGCTCATTAAAATGTAGCCAATAAATAACTAACGCAGGGCTACATAACTCAAATAGATGTTAGTTTTGTGAAGGAGAGAGAACCTACCCAGCTGTGGTATCTATAGATATGGGACTTTAAGGAGTAATTCCAAGTTCATTAACTTGGTATAATTTATTTTATTATGCTATTTTCCGAAAGGGTAATGTTGCTGTGTTTGCTTTGCTGGCCATATTTTGACATAGAGCCTTGATCTGGCTTGCCTAAATTCCACCTTGGCTTTTATTGGATAAGGCATCCTCTGCTTCCTGCTCAAAGCTGTTGCATTGAAAAATCAAGAGTTCAAGGAGATCTTGAGCTTAAAGCTTTGGCTTGTCACCAAGCTGACAGGTGACCTGAGCAAGTTATGCAATCCTGCCTACATCAGCTACGCCTTCTGTGAAACACAGGCGTGATACCTGTGATACCTGTCAGGCTCAGGAACCTGTAGAGCAAAAATGTTCTAAAGGGAATATAATGATGCAGAATGATTAATTTGATTGAATCCATCTGCCTACATGCTTGCAAAACACCTGCAATTTCACAGATGTAGTAAGTGAATGTAGTCGCACTATTTTTTCTCTGCATCGGTCAGGAAATTCGAGCTGTGTTACTTGAATACAAATGACAGAATCAATGCTATACACATCATGTTGTACATGGGTTGACAGGTCCTCGTGAGCTATCTTCCCTCAGTAAACACTGAGGTACAAAATTTGTCTCATCTGTTGTATCTATTGCGTGGCCGAATGACCGTGTATACGTGTTTGTACACATGCCTTTATATTGCCTCAGAGAAATTTTTTTTGGTGTTCGCTGTCCTGTTTTTTTCTGCTCAAAAGAAACTTTCATTTGCTTAACCGCTCCTGTGGGGAGATTGCAGAAAGCCAATTCATTTCAAGGTTTGCTTTGCTGTTCATGAAAAACTTCACATATTTACATATCTGAATCAGGTAATGTAAGCTTCTTAGAGAAAGCAAGATGTGGCATATGTGGTATCTCGGGCATTAACTTTTCAGAGAGAGCGAGAACAGATATGCTGAGCTTTTGCTGTGCGATTCTCTTCAGAGTAATGAAAAAAATTAAGTTTCGGAAAGTTCAGGATAACAGCCAGAGAGGCTTTTTCAATGCCTATTGGAAAGCCTAGGTAGAAAGTCCTTCATAGAAGCAGCTGAAGGGTTTGAATTAATTGTTACAAGAAGAGAAAGGCCTTAGCCTTAACAATACAATGAGAAGAGACATGCAACACAGACCTGCGTGTAGCTAAAATCGCACTGATTTTGAGTAGAGCCTCTGCTCAGTGGTGTATGCTGGACAAGACATTGGTTATGAATTCACTCGTGGTAAAATGGAATTAAGCTGGGTTATTTTTTTGTTTTACGTTACTGAGAAGACATGAATACAGACCAATTTTACCAACTTCATGTGTCCTCTAATTACTTTTTCTTTCTTTAAGTCCCAGCTTCAGGAGCCATAAGATTACCTGACAGTCTTACTTTGTATTAGAAGATATATCTATATTGTAAGAAAAGCCTGGAATAAGAATTTTGAAGTAC